TTAAGGAACCATATTGGTACACTTCCTGGGTTTGAGGGACATTTGCAGCGATGCCAGTAGTCCATTACCATGGACACAGTATACTCAATTCATGTCATGTGCTTGCACACAAACTTAGAATACGATGGTAATATGTTTGATGGGCAAGCTAACCAACAGTGACTTGCTGGGTAGAAAGCTAGCAGGCACTTTATGGAATCTACTTATTAGGTTGTTTGTGCATGCTTGTGGCACGAAAAAGGAAAGCATTGTTCTTCTCCCTTTCTCAAAGTTGGAAAAACCACATGTTTTAGAAGAAAAAAAACTTCCAAAACCACTTTCAATTGATAAGGATGGGCTTTAGCAATAAGATTCAAAGTTATTGGAATTTTTAGTGCTAGCTTTCAACTTTCACAAATTCTAGTGCCAACCCCTAGAAATTCCAGATGATCTTTAAAAAACACATGCCAACAGAAATTTCATCACACTTTCAACAAAAATATCAAAGGCTTTCAACAAATTTTGTCAAGGTTCCAACATTTCATCATAGCTTCCAACAATTTCACAAAATCCAGAAACCAATTTTCAAGAATCTAGGAACCAACAACATTAAAAAGAATGCTACATCATCTTTGAAATAAGGTACATAAATGAACTTTCTGAACCGAACATACGCAATGGAATTGGCATAGTTGGTGGTGGGCGTTGCTCCTCTTCATGATGAGTAGATAGTGGCATGTCGTGATGCTTCGCAACAGAGGCGAGGAGTGTCCCTAGTGAGGTGGGGAGGTACCAAGATGCCCTGTAGCAGCACTCTTCAAGTGTGGGGACTCAACGAAGTGTTTTTGATGAGGCGTCACCCTCCGAGGTGGCACCTTTGTGAGGCAGGGTTGTGACCATGCACTCTAGTTCAAGTGGCACTCACTGAATCGCTGATGTAGGAGTGCAATAGGTAGATTTCCCTCGGAGGGAAGCTAGGTGGCACGTCGGCAGCATGGGGAAGGTGTGGGGAGGTGAGCTCAATAGCGTGTCGATCTGTCAGGGAAGACGTGACGAGGTGGAGCCCAGCGATGCGTTTCTCAAGATGATGTAGGGTTAGGGGAGAAAGGAGAGAATAAGGTTGAGGTAGAGGGACAAATGATGTAGTCGTAAGGGGCATGTGTGGGAACAAGAAAAAAAAATAGGCTTGGGCCTCGAGACTTTGGGGACAAAAAATGTGTGTTATGGTGCGAGCGTGCAAGGACAAGCGGGGCGGATGGTGTCAAAAATTCACTGTGGCCTTGGGTACCCATGGTTAGCCCTCTTGGTCTGTTTGATACTCCCTCTGCACATGTATACAAGATCAAGTTGTTATTTGCTTCTAACTTTGCCCATCAATTGACTAATAGAAAATAAAAATAAAATAACGTGCACATTTCTAAAAAACATACTATTACTAAACATGCACTATTTGTCGACTAACCTAATAATTTGTCCGAAAATTTACTTTATGCAAGACCTACACTGTCGAACGGCATCAGCAACTTTTCTGTCTGCCGACGAAGCAGAGAAGGGTGTAGTAAGCAACACGATGACTAATGCCACGAGCTTAAGGAACCATATTGGTACACTTCTTGGGTTTGAGGGACATTTGCAGCGATGCCAGTAGTCCATTACCATGGACACAGTATACTCAATTCATGTCATGTGCTTGCACACAAACTTAGAATACGATGTTAATACGTTTGATGGGCAAGCTAACCAACAGTGACTTGCTGGGTAGAAAGCTAGCAGGCACTTTATGGTATCTACTTATTAGGTTGTTTGTGCATGCTTGTGGCACGAAAAAGGAAAGCATTGTTCTTCTCCCTTTCTCAAAGTTGGAAAAACCACATGTTTTAGAAGAAAAAAAAACTTCCAAAACCACTTTCAAATAATAAGGATGGGCTTTAGCAATAAGATTCAAAGTTATTGGAATTTTTAGTGCTAGCTTTCAACTTTCACGAATTCTAGTGCCAACCCCTAGAAATTCCAGATGATCTTTAAAAAACACATGCCAACAAAAATTTCATCACACTTTCAACAAAAATATCAAAGGCTTTCAACAAATTTTGTCAAGGTTCCAACATTTCATCATAGCTTCCAACAATTTCACAAAATCCAGAAACCAATTTTCAAGAATCTAGGAACAAACAACATTAAAAAGAATGCTACATCATCTTTGAAATAAGGTACATAAATGAACTTTCTGATCGAACATACGCAATGGAGTTGGCATAGTTGGTGGTGGGCGTTGCTCCTCTTCATGATGAGTAGATAGTGGCATGTCGTGATGCTTCGCAACAGAGGTGAGGAGTGTCCCTAGTGAGGTGGGGAGGTACCAAGATGCCCTGTAGCAGCACTCCTCAAGTGTGGGGACTCAACGAAGTGTTTTTGATGAGGCGTCACCCTCCGAGGTGGCACCTTTGTGAGGCAGGGTTGTGACCATGCACTCTAGTTCAAGTGGCACTCACTGAATCGCTGATGTAGGAGTGCAATAGGTAGATTTCCCCCGGAGGGAAGCTAGGTGGCACGTCGGCAGCACGGGGAAGGTGTGGGGAGGTGAGCTCAATAGCGTGTCGATCTGTCAGGGAAGACGTGACGAGGTGGAGCCCAGCGATGCGTTGCTCAAGATGAGGTAGGGTTAGGGGAGAGAGGAGAGAATAAGGTTGAGGTAGAGGGACAAATGATGTAGTCGTAAGGGGCATGTGTGGGAACAAGAAAAAAAATAGGCTTGGGCCTCGAGACTTTGGGGACAGAAAATGTGTGTTATGGTGCGAGCGTGCTAGGACAAGCGGGGCGGATGGTGTCAAAAATTCACTGTGGCCTTGGGTACCCATGGTTAGCCCTCTTGATCTGTTTGATACTCCCTCTGCACATGTATACAAGATCAAGTTGTTATTTGCTTTTAACTTTGCCCATCAATTGACTAATAGAAAATAAAAATAAAATAACGTGCACATTTTAAAAAAAACATATTATTACTAAACATGCACTATTTGTCGACTAACCTAATAATTTATCCAAAAACTTACTTTATGCAAGACCTACACTGTCGAACGGCATCAGCAACTTTTCTGTCTGCCGACGAAGCAGAGAAGGGTGTAGTAAGCAACATGATGACTAATGTCAGACGAAGAAAACGGCAGTTTTCTTGCCGCGCACGAGTGAGAGACTACTACCGAGAAAAGGTTATACTCAACGCAAAATCAGTAGAGCTCACGAAGAATTGTCTGCCACGAGAGCCGCTTAACTCCACCTATGGGCGTGCGCTGCCACGACCAGAAACCGTATGCGTGCAAAGCACTCTCGTACGTGTCGCATCTGGCCGCCGTGGGAATTAGCCAAGCGGACAGTCATCTGGCTTGTCTGTCTAACTGAACTTCTGAGTAAGTGGCCAAGTGCGAAACCTCTCTGACGTGATTTAAAAGTGGCATCCGTACTGGTTCATGCATGCTACTCGTATTTCTTGACAAAAAGACAGAGTAGCTGGTCTGGTCAATTAGCTAGCTAGCTAATTGGTCTAGCAAAGAGGCGGCCCTGTTTGCTTTGTCGGCAAAAGGAGTGTTTTTTCTCCTGACAAAAATAAATGCGACGGTCATGGATAACTGCAGAAAATCACTAGGAGAGGCCGACGAAGTTTTCTCCTGACAAAAGGAGTGTTTTTTCTCTTTTTTTCCATTTTCTGTTTCTTTTTTCGGTTTTAGTTTTTCCCTTGTTCGTTTTTTACTTGATTTTTTCTTTCCATTTCTTCCTTTCAAAAAATTTGTGATCTCGAAAATAATGCTTACAATTTCATAAAAAAGTTGATGTTTTTCAAAAAATGTTTACATTTTCAAATTATGTTTGGGGTTTCAAAGAAAATCCCCATTTTAAAAATTGTTCACGGATCCAAAAAATCTTTTCCTTTTCCCAAATTTTGTTCACAGTTTCAAAAATGTTTCCTTTTAAAAAAATATTCATGTTTTCAAAATGTGCTCGTATTTTCAAAAAATGTGTTTTGAAAATAATGTTTGAATTTCGAATTGTTTGGGATAAAAAGTGTTTGAGATTTCAAAGAATGTTGGGAATTACAAATATTGTTCACATTTTTTAAGATGTTTTGGAACTTCACAAATTGTTTGTATTTTTTTAAAAAAATACGGCATTTCAAAATTGTTCACAATTTTCTGGATGTTTCAAAAACGTTTCAAATCTAGTGGCTAGCAGCATGTGTTCAACAGTGCGAGTTTGATTCCCTCGCAAGGGTGCTTCTTTTATTTTTATGTCGTGCGCTACAAAGCACTACTTGTTTCGCCCCCGGACCTGACCCGCAGCAACACCACCACCGAGATTCCGAGAGGAGAGTCCGGCCATCTCGACAAAGATCTTGTTGGTACACATGGCCCAAAATATGTCACAGTCGTCTCGTCTGCCATTCATATTTAGAGGGTATCCACTCCAGCGTATGTAAAAGCATGTGGTACTAACCTTCTCGAGGGAAAAGTATATAGCTACTCGCATGGCATCCAACACACAGTTTGTTTGTTGCCGTCTAAATCAAAAGGCGGCGAGATGGCAAAACGATAAATCTTACGTGCCATGCCAATGCATGCCGCATGCGTGGTAGGTATTGAGTTGCAATGGCAATCGTATGTAGTTCTAAAAAAAAGGCAATCGTACATAGCAAGCAAGAATTCGATCCCACGTACTTCTGCTCACATTTTAATTTGTTCCACTGGGTTTTCGAAGATACTATCAAGATACCCACCTACTCGCTTCGGGTTCATGTATAAATCGGCAATCATCAATGGGGATTATTCAGAGTTGGATTACCTTTTCGTTTACTGACCGGCGCAGGCTTTTGATCTAAAAACTAAAAATTATGCAGCTGGCCAGTTTTATTCCACAAATTAAGCTCCTGAGGACCAACCTTGTTAGCCGCTTTCCGGCTAGCAACGTTGCCATGACGCACCGCTAGACAATCAGAGAGCGAGTGTGGTGGGGAAGCAGCTGTCGTGCACACAGCTGAGCACGTTGCGGTAGTCCCTATCGACGGTGAAGGAGTCGTAGACATTGCCGTCGCTGCTCTTCTTGTACTCGAACAGAAGCGACGAGTGGTTGAAGGCCGTGAGCTTGACGAAGCCATAGTCTTGATCCCTGAAGACGCTCCACCTAGGGATGGCCGTGGTGTAGCTGGAGAGGTGGCTGCCGCCGCCGCCCGCCACGACGAAGATGGTGCCGTTCATGGTGCCCGAGTAGTGGCTCCGCTCCCCGGTGACGCACTGGCTCTGGTAGAGCGGGCATGTGCGCTCGTAGTTGTGGACGTGACCGAAGAAGGCCATGTCAACGCGGTACCGCTGCCACAGCTTCTGCAGGCTCTCCCGGCCCTCGGGCTCCTCGAAGGAGCCCTCGGCGGCGTACCACGCGTTGGACGAGTAGCCCAGCACCCGGTGCGCCGCGAAGATGAGCCATGGCTGGTGCTTCCGGTCCACCGTGGAGAGGCACTCCTCGATGAACTTGTGCTGTGGAGTCCCCTCTCGCCAGTCGTGCCCCGTGTCCGCCACGCAGAACCGGAACATCCCGTAGTCCACCTTGTACCTTCGATGGCAGCCATTTCAACCCCAATAGTTTCGTAGGAGTATATGGAAATAGATAGAACGATGCATGTCTGTGGGTGCAGAGATATATTGATTGAAAAATGTGTGTGCATACCAGAAATTTGCTCTGTTTTCAGCTGGGTAGTAATACATAGTCTCGGCCGGTACGCCGCACTCGCCGCCAGAGTCCTTGACATCGAAAAATCCACCGGTATTGGGCCAGTCCCTCTCATGGTTACCACTGTAGACGAAAGATAAGGATACATTTTTACATGACACTGCTCCATAGGTACACGATCACAGCGTGATCTATGTATCTATAACGTACCTCGCAACCATGTAGGGCTTCCTGGCGCTGATGGGGGCGACTTGTGCGGTGAACTGGTCCCATTGGGAGAGGTATCCGTTGGCATATGGCATGTCGCCGATGTGGAAGACGATGTCGTAGTTGTCCAAATCTTTGACCAGCGTGTCCGTCGTGTTCAATGACCCCGGCTGGTAGTTGGCGAACTCATTCGATCCGTCCCTCTCCGCCTGAAAATGAGAATGCCAAACCATGTAGAGGCCATGTATGGTGGATTCCATTTATCAACATTTGAGTGTAGGACAGTTCCTTTATTTCATGTCAAGTGAAATTGGCTTGCATGCGTCACAAAGGGTACTACCTTTCCCATGTCACCGAAGACGATGATGCGCTGCAGCGAGTTTTGTCCAGGGGTTGGCGGCGCCCGGAAAGTGTAAGGCTTTCCCGACACCATGGTACCGTCGGAGAGCTCATGCCCGATCTTGTAAGTGTACCTGCATCGCAAACGAACTGGTCTTGAGTAATCCATTTTCCAAGGATGGGAACTACTACATTTTTCCAAGGAATTTGCCTACTCTTTGTTGGGCCACAGGTCCCTCATGAAGGCCGTGTGGATGAACCCGGGGTCTCTCCACCCAACCGTCCTCGCCGGCTCGCCTGGATGAAAATGAAAACACACCATGAACCACACTCGTGAGCTTCTCTTGTTTCTGGACATCGTCTCGAAGAGGGAAAAAAGGTACGTACCACACATGCTGCCGCGGTTGAAGGTCAGCGTGCCGGCGGGCGTGCGGGTAGGGTTCCTGACCCCGCCGCCGGGGGCGACCATGCCCCACTCCACCAGCGGGTAGGCCTCGTCGATGTCGTAGCCGCTGGTCCATGTGACCGTCATCTCGTCGTGGGTCTTGCCCTGCGCCAGCCGCGGGAACACCGGGGCCTTGGGGTTCTTGAACGCCACCGGCTTCGACACCGCCACCAGCTTGGGCTGCCAAAAAAGTAGGAAAACACATAACCAAGATCACTTCACACGAAACAGCTGAGATCGTGAAAGTGTAAGAGAACTAGTGGTTACATTTTCGAAGCCGCCGGTGAAGAGGGCGAAGGAGAAGTCGGAGCGCTGGTTGATGATCTGGAACCGGATGGTGCCCTTGCCCCAGTAGCGGTAGTTGGCCGAGTAGTTGGCGTACTGATACTGCACCCACACCCCCACACACACCAACAGATTAGTCATGGCCGGCGACGTGCATCGGTCCATATTAACTGGCAATTGCCATGCATGAATTTCAGTCAACCGACCTTGATAGGCGCTGTGCAGAGTCCCGGCTCGTCGGGGTTCCTCCGCGGGTTAGGGCACGAGCCCGAGCTGCATGCGCACAAGAGATGCCATAGATATTATTCCTCCATGCCAGAGGATCCTACAGGGATTAGAATGCTAAGGGGAAAAGCTTATTTTACATGAAATCGGCAGGGGAGAAGACGGCGATCCAGTCGTCGGCGGAAGGGTTCTCCCACCCGTATTTCACAGTGACCCATGCGGTGTCTTCTCCCTGTCATAGGCATCCGAGTTGCTTAGACTTTTTTTTAACATAGAATAATTGGCACTTTATTCATATTCAAGCACCATCACAATGTATTATCCGACTACAAAAATTGCTCAGTTTATGTACCACTTCCATTTCCCCTTTCCCCTTTAATATAAGATACGCAACTTCCACGGTTCGGGTTTATTAGGGCCTCCAGAATTTCAGGTCAAACTTTTACCATGAATTTTATTAGTAAATAATAAGTGATATGACACTAAAATTACATTGTTGGATTCATATTCGAAAGAAGATTTCAACCATACTATTTTGCAATATATAACTCATATTTTGTTACACAAATGTATGGTCAACCTTTTTTTTGACTCAAAATATGAGGGGCCCTAATAGACATGAACGGAGGAAGTACTCCCTCCGTTTCTTTTTAGTCTGCATATAACTTTTGTTTGATGTCAAAGTATCTCTAGTTTAACCAAACTTCTAGAAAAAAGTATCAACATTTACAATGCCAAAGGAATATCTTTAGATTCATTATGTACTGTAGTTTCATGTTGTGTATATTTGATATTATAGATGTTCATATTTTTTTAATACAAATTTGGCCAAAGTTTGTAAAGTTTGACTCGAAACAAATCTTATATGCGTAGTAAAAAAGAAGGGAGGGAGTATTAATTACTTAGTCATACGTATAACCCGGTTGTTCGGGAGTTTATTAGGACCCCTTGTATTTAGTGTCAAACTTTGACTATAAAATTACATAATAAAATATAAATTATATGTCAGAAAGATTATATGGTGAGAATACACTCTCAAATAGAAATCCATTGGTATATCTTTTGTGGCATAAAAATGGTCAAACTTGGACCCAATCTACAAATTATGTTTGTTCTGCATTTCCATTTAAAAGATCCAACTAGCATATACTGTATTTTATGGTTATATGTGTGCACCGATTATTAACTACTTGGTCAAATCATGCTGATGGATATTGGTAATGAACAAGCTAATGAATATGTACCTGGTCGCCGAGCAACGCCGGCGTCGCCCGCACGTACGCGGAGCCGTGCAGGTCCACGGTGGCCTTGTGGATGGCGATCTTGGACAGCGGCTGGATCCCCTCGGCCGGCGACGCGCTCACCATCGCCGCCGCTGCCGCCATGGCCAGCACCGCCGCCAGGACAACATGCGCCATCCTCCCCATGGCCCAACACCGTCTCCTCCCGTATCTTCTACGCACTGGCAGGCAGCTGCCCCTGCTCCTTGGCTTCAGGCTGGTGAGTGTCCAGTGTATGCCGGCCGGCCGGCCTATATGTAATACGTACTGCCACCAAGTGGCAGGCCGCGTGAACCACGGGCTATGTTAAAAATTGGTAACTACAGTACGTACGTACACGACTCGATCGGTAGCCTCGTGATTCGTGGAGCACGTTACTATCGATCTCGGCATGTGCTCTTGCTTTCTTTGGGTACTCTTCGTTTACCAGTCAAGACACTCTCTGATGACTGACACACACTCTCTATATATGTCCGAATTATTGCTTTTAGTAACTTGGATTGGATCAGACGATCAATCAATCGCGACCGGGGATCTGCGCACGTACACAGGGCGCGCAGCATCGACCCGGATAAGCCTATCCAGCATCGATCCGTGATTGATGATTTGAGTGATGCGATTTTAGTAAGAGCTAGTAGTAGTAAGGTTTTGGCCAACGAGCATTAAATCTGCACCACAAGTGGAAGGATAGATATTAGTATAGTCTTGATCTCATCCAAAACATATCACATGTGACTCTACGCATCTTGGATGCTACCCAAACTGTTGAGGGGAAGACAAGAGAATGCGGGTCATCAAACCGGTCAAATTGTGCTGTATTTTGAGAGCTAGAGAAAGTTTGCAAACGGCACTTGAAATGGCAAACATCGAGCTTGAAATCTCGGCCTCCGAGTTCTTCTTTCTGGAGACAAGTTTTGGTGTTAGTGCTGCTATCTCACTAGTAAGTGAGTACTTGGCTAGTAATAAAAACTAAGGCTTTTGGTCAGCGAGCATTACGTCTACATCACAAGTGGAAGGATGGAGGGTAGAGTCACATGCAGTTGGGCGCCAATAGGATGGCAGCATGGCATCCACCTCATCCAAGAGTTTGTTTAAGGTCTGCTTGTCATGTGTAATGGTCGGGGAATGAGAGGGTTGGATCCAGATTCCAAGGGTGGTGCACCAAGATGCGAGATTGTGTGCCGTGGTCGGGGCGTGGGAAACGACTCCCCTGATAATACTACACCGTCCAGTGGGGTCAGTGACATGTGGGCCAGCTTGCTGGGTCGCTGACAAGTGGTGATTTTGTTAAGTGTATGGATATAAGGCCTTTGCACACGCCACCCCTTAATCTTTGTTGCACTTGTACTATGATCCTTATGATATACTCCCTCTGTTCCTAAATATGGCCCAGTTCTTTTAGGCGATTCTTTCTTAATCTTGATAATCGACTCTCCACCCAGCTTCTCTCAGAATCTTGAACCCATATTATCTTTACAATCCTAGCCAAAAGAACTGGGCCTATAAGTCTTATTAGAGATTTCAATAAAGACTACATACAGATGTATATAGACACATTTTGGAGTGAAGATTCACTCATTTTACTTTGTATGTAGTTGGCATTGGAATCTCTAAAAAGACCTATATTTAGGAACGGAGGGAGTAAATGAGACACATATTACCATGAAAAAAAATCTTTGTTGCGCTTGTGTTACTAACGACACCGCCTGCTAATCTTTGTTGTGACTTTGAGGCCAACCATTTGTGTAGAACTGTTTTGAAGAAGCTAGATGACCCCGCCTAAGCAAGTTCCAACCAAAACCAAAAGCAAGGGTGTCACATGAGAGCGTCGAAGAAAGGAAGCAATACCTCTGAATTACTATTAGTTAACAACTGCAGAAGAGACCACTCAGCTACTTGCACTTTGTGAGTACCATCAGACTGAAAGTAAGGTGCATAAGACTTATTTTGCAGTTTGTACCATGCTTACGAATGCGCAAATCTAAATCAAGATTATCTTCATGTGCACTAATGTATCGGATTGTTCATCCAGATGATGAATTAATTGCATGATCTGAGACTACGACATCAGAAACTCGTGTAGTTCTGCTCACGACATCAGAAAATCATATATGTATTTCATTTGGTGTTTCTCTCAGTCCTTGCTTGCTGACTCAATTGCTTCACCATTTTCTTGCCACGAAATCAGCCTTCATGAGCTTTATACGTGTGCTTGAAGTAAATCAGTTGGAATTTGCAACAGGTGCTCCTTCAAAAATCATCTTCAAAAGCATGACCACACATGATAACAACCATGTAGTAGAGCCCAGAGTCTTGCATGGAAAGTATTCACCAATGCCAGCGTTCGCCTAGTTTCAGCGGATATGCCGGTAAGGCGGCAAACCTCTGGCTTATACCGGCGACTTCGCAGCGAAATTCTGAGTGCTTGAAACCCCTGCGTCATCATCGTGGCAGAAATGCAGCATGCCTCCAGATCACCTGATCTCATCGTCAAGGTGAATTCTGAAGATAGACGGCGTTTGGCCTAAACCTCTTCATCTGAGTTGTAGCAATCGTAGATAGAGTGAAGGTCACCTTTAAGTTTGAGCATTTGGTTCTGAGTTCTACTTTGTCAATCAATGCTGTAAATCGTCGTACATCACCCAGTAAGGTATGAAGAAGGATGGCTAGATGCGTCCATTCCACAGGTAGGATCGATCGAACCATCGATGCCTGTAGTAATGTGTGCAATGCTCTACCATCCATTCATTACTCAGGAAGCAGTACAATCTTAGAAACCGATTGGAATGTTACATACTTACAAGAACTACACACCAGGTGCATTTCACACAAAGACGGTGCACCCGCCCAGTTCCTTCAGTTACACACTAAGAATCTCTTTCATAAAGGAAATGCACCTGAACATTGCTCCCGATTCTTTTTACAAACTCGAGGATACCATAACCCCAACCTAACAGGAGACCATGCGTGATGCGAAACCAAACGTTTCCGTGCTGTTTACTACTGGATGTTCCTTGCCCGCATCAATGCTTCTATTTTCTCAACGTCTTCGGGCGCATCCACACCATGGGCATCATGGTCCACCTTGATAACCTGCAATTGTCAAGGGAGGAAAAGAACACTCAGTTCAGCAGTACAAGGCATACGCTGCAATTTTTATGAGAGGACACGACATATAAAGGTGCATATGGCACAGAACACATAATGAACAATACTACTACTAAATATCAGCATACAACTACTTTTTAAATTTCCCTTGAGCAATACATTACAAGCTGGTCATCAAGATGGTCGGACTCTTCCTGTCCGTGCTCCTGGTGAACTCCTGGCAGCTGATCAACCACATGAAACAGGTCTGGAAGGTGTGAGGGAGCCTGGACAACAACCAACTGGAAGCAGAAGAGGGGTGCTAATTCATCCTCGAGTTCTTGGAGGATGGAGACCGGCAGCATGTCATCAAGGACAGGCCATGGCAGTACAATTAAGGGGGGCGCCTTCCTGGTTGCAGGGAATCCCTTTCTACCTCCTCAATAAGGAGTTGGCCTACAGACTGGGTGAGCAGGTTGGCTCCACGGTGATGATCGACCCGCACGGAAGAGGGAACATCCGCGACAAGTTTCTCAGAGGGAGAGTGCAGCTACCGTTGTACTCTACCCTGCAGCAAGAGATCACACTGGCCGATGAGATCACAGAGGAAAAAACTTTTGGTAAATTTACGTTCTGAAAGACTGCCTAATTTCTGCTTGTTCTGGGGATACATAGGCCATATGGGAGCCAGGTGTGATCTCCCTAATGAAGAAAAGAACTGAGGTACTTCATGGAGCTCAGTGTGCATCCTGTACACTTCAACGACCCACAGGCCTGGTCCTCGCCGGACAAGGTGGGGCAGGGACGACCCTTCAGACGCCGACCTTGCCGTGGCATGCCCCCAAGCCAGGCAGCCTAGGCCAAAAGAGCTTGTCGAGCTCGTGGCATATCAACCGCTGTGGTGCTGAAGACGGTCGAGCAGGAGCATGAAAACGTTGCCTGCCTTTCGGTGGGTGACAGGATGGAGACAGACACCAACCCAACGTGTCACAATGTCAACTTCATGGTGACTGCAAGTACGGCTACCATTGCTGCTGTCTCCCTGAATGGGGAGAATCAGGAGATCAACATAGCAGATGCCAAGGGCTCTATGGCCTCAACTGCAACCCCGATTGATGCCTCCTCCAACCTGAAGGTCGACCACGACATTGCTGCTGTGGACCTGAACATGGCGTCTGGAAGACAGTAGAACAGAAGGAAACAACTCACCTCCTGCCTGAACAGGAGGGGAGTAACAACCAGAAGAATGATGAGCTGGCATCCAAGTGGGAAGCGGTCCAGGCAACGCTGGCAGCACCCCTGATGGGGTCTACACTTGAGCCAGAAGCTGCTGGGAACGCCGTTGGTAATGCAACTTGCAAGGAGAAAATCATCACTGCTTCCGTGACTACTCCACAGGTGGGTGGAAACAAGGGAGTTGACGGGAACCTTGTGAAGAGCGCTGGGAGCAGTGAGGCGATGCGGTAGGATGCCTCAGGTCAGGATGGTAGAAACACTCAGAACTTCACTTGCATGCTGTGGGGGAGGGACAGACTAGCAAGAGCAACACTGACACGAAACAAGTTAACCTAAAGAAGAAAATCACCAAGAGGAAGGAGGTTGCTACTTCAGTCCTCAGCAAGCATCCGGATAGGTATAAGAATCAAATGGATGTAGAATCTGAGAGTGTGAGTCTTGATGTAATAGTGACTTAGTGAGTAGCAAAAAGGGTAGTGGAAGAAAAGGGAAAGAATGGTGGAAAGGAAGCTGCCGGAGAACTGACAGGCGCGAAGGACAGCATCCGTCAGGAGCCATGTGTCTCTTCGCCTGGAACTGTCGAGGACTGGGACAGCCTCAGGCAGTTCAGGAGTTGATCCGCCTATGGGGATGCAAGTTTACTGGGATGCAAGTTTGAATGTCAGTTCGATAAACTTTGGTGAGCACCATATAGATATCAGAATTGAGGAGGCTGATGGTCAAAGATGGATGTGTACTTTCATCTATGGGGAGCCTAGAGTTCAGGACAGGCCAGAGATATGGAAGCTGTTAAGGAGGATAAAGCAAAGTGTATCAGAACCATGGCTTATGATTTGCGATTTTAATAAGGTAATGTGGCAATTCCAGCACCTTTCGGCCACTAAAGGAAATGAAAAGCAAATGGAGAACTTTAGGGATACTCTCTCTGTTTGCAACCTCCATGATTTGGGTTATTCTGGAGTACCATAGATGTATAATAATAAGCAGGGAGGTATCAGAAATGTGAGAGTCAGATAAGATTAGACCGTGCAGTGGCTTGCCCTGCTTAGTCAGGTCTTTTCTCTGATGCCGTGGTGCAACACCTTGTGTCATCGAGGTCAGACCATTACTCTCTCCTGGTTAGCCTTGAAAAACTGATGCAGACAACGATTTTCCACCGGCACTGTGCTTTCTATGAATTAATGTGAGAGAGGGAAAGCACCCTAGCTGATGAAATAAAAGATGCATGGGGAGGGCATGTTGTGGCATCGGATCTTACAGCAATCAACTTCAGGCAACGATGAATTGTTTGAAGAGTTGGGTAAGGAGAAGTTTGGGGCTGTAAATAAGGAGATTGAAAAACTTAGAAAAGAGCTAGAAGGTTTGCTTGCTGACAGGCTAGTAGCAATGGGAGCACCAGTGTGTGTCTAAACGGCTGGACGAGCTGCTGCTCCGGGAAGAAATGGTGTGGCGGCAACGTTTAAGAGTGGCTTGGTTAAGCATGGTGACCAAAACACTAAGTTCTTCCATCAGAAGGCCGCATGGAGAGGAAAAAATAATAGAATAAGAAGTCTGAAGAAGCAAGACAGTGGATTAGAGGTTGATTATTTCAGCACGCTGTTTACCAAAAATTGTATGATTGTTCCAGAGTAAATCGCTGATCTTATGGACCAGAAGGTCGATGAGGACACAAACAGTGTTTTGATTTGCGAGTTGGGCTTTGAAGGCACCTGGGGCTGATGGCTTTCCAGCACGTTAAATCGGGGGATGCTGAAAGAGGAAGTTTTTGCTGAAGTGAATAAGTTCTTCCAGGACGGTGAATTGCCAAAAGAGATAAATGAGACCATCATTGTGCGTGTTCCTAATGTAAAACAAGCTGAGGAACTAAAGGACTACCGGCCTACAGTATTTCATTGTGCAATGCTGTTTAGTATAAAGTTGTGGCAAATGCCTAATAAATAGGTCGACACCCTTGCTGGACGGGCTCATTTGCTCACACTTTGGAGATATTGGCATCTCAGGAACGATGTCATCCACGCGAAGGGAGACGCTACTATCCAACAATCGGTTCAGTTCCTCCTAAGGTATGTTGAGCTGCTCAACTCTGACCCAGATGTCGCTGAGTCAATTTGCTTGGATGAGGCAAAAGGGAAGAAGGGAGGATATGCACGGAATTCTGGATGCGCGGGCGCAGCAACCAGAGCCTGGGAATATCCTGCTAAGGATGGTTGAAGATAAATGTGGATGGATCCTTTGTTCCTAAAACTAAAGCAGCTAGTGTGGACGCTGTGCTTCGCAATCATTTGGGAAATGCCCTGGCTGTTATGGCGAATGCGCTGAACACTTCTGTTGATGCAGAAGAAGCTGAGGCTCGTGCTGCTTGGAAGGAATCTGTTTGGGAGCAAGCCAACTTTGACAGGCCTATAATTAGTGAGAGTGACTGCAGTTCAGTCATTGCTGCCTTGAGGGGGAGTGGCTGTAACATGTCTCGTTTAGGTGCATTTATAGTGATGTTCTCCCAGAAGCTTTGAAATTACGGGACTGTAGGTTTGTTCACATCAAAATAGATCAAAACCGTGTTGCTCATGAGATTGCTACTTATTTTCATCAAGCTGGCAAATAGCTATAGATTGTAAATCCCCAAGTTTGGATCATGAATAAGATCTCTTTCGACGTCAGAAAAAACATAGCTTAAATTTTTTCCAGGAACTAGTTGCCCGGGAGCAACAGATGATAGAAACTTCTTGTTTGTACAAATACTGAGCAGCGAGAAGCCAAATTACCTTCATCTTGTAGCCATTCTCAAGAACTTTAAGTTGCTCCAGGTCCTCTTCTAGTTGCAGTGGGGTTGGTGCAAGCTGTGGATAGATCTTCAGAAACTTCGAATCAAAGCCCTACATGAGAAATGTCAAAGCATTAATGGTGGGGTAGCTTCAGCACAAAGGTAATATTTACAACAAAATAAAGAGGCACACAGGGCAGTCAGTTATCAGAAGGGTTGGTAATGTACCGAAATTCCAAGATGAAGAAGATATGGAAAGTGAGGATTGACTTTCCCTGATCTGCAATGTTCAAATTTTCAAAACTGTAAGTGCAAATGAGGTCACCTGAAGAGTTAAAACAAATTTTAGTATCTCACTTGTTAAATGGGATCAGCCCTCTTGAGAAGTATATTGCATAACCCTGGTTGTCTACTACACACTTCACTCGGTTTGTGTCAAATGCATCTTCAGGTTTTAGTGCCGTGGCAGCTGTGCTGAAGACTGCATCAGGAGCTCGCTGAAGATAAAAGTGAGCACATCATAAATGCAAAGAAAAGAGTCAGTTAAGAAGAAAGAGATGTCAAACAAAGGGAACAAAAAGAAATAGAAGGCGAAAGGCAAAGAGGAATCTCCAGTAAAATTAGTACATCAAAGATACAAAATGCACATCATCAGTCCCCTAGGAAGACTTCATCTCAGTTACTTCAGGAAAACCATTTTGATTATCAGAAGAGTAAGAAATAACAAAACTAGAGTTCATAACTACCTGCAATGCCATAACCACACCGTCTATGATATCTGGTTCAATAAGAGGCTCATCCCCTTGAATATTGACAACAATGTCATAATGTTTCCTGAGCTTTTGAAGTGCCTCACAGCAGCGCTCAGATCCTGCATTTTGAACCACATGCCAACAAGCAAATAAGAGATTACCAAGCAGTCATGAAAAGATACCTGAGTTACAAAATCAGGAAAGGTTACCATTTTGGCATGATACTGATGTCATTATAACATCAGCTCCAAATCCTCTACAGCACTCAGCAATTTTCTCATCATCCGTTGCCACAACTGAGGACAAAAAGAAAGAAATACCGACAGTCTTAGCATTAGAAGCATGTTACTGCAGATTTAGAAGCCTCTCTGAACACATCAGAGAAAACAGAGTATGGCAACATGACAAGTGTTCAAGATGATCAAAGAAAGAAATTAACTTATAAACAAGGATTTGCCTATTACAGAAATGTTTTGCACATAGTAGAAATTAACAAATAAGTAGAAATCTGCTTACCAACATGGTCTAATGAAGAAGCTAGCATAACTCTTTCCCAGGTTCTCTGAAAAGATCCAAGAAGCCAATGGTGAGTTTGAGGATGATCAAGTCTAGACTGTCGGGTACACGTAAGTTAATTTATTAGCTATATGCTGATTGCTCAGCCAACCGAGCATCAAGTCCTAGCACTAACTAATAGGGCACTCTCTATCCATCATTTCATTATGAATATAAAAGCTAACTTGGAGTACCATTCTCCAATTCAAACTCATATTTATCAGCCACAAATACAACTTAATGCTTGAGCAAATATTGGTAGTAGTTCACCACCGTGTAAAGCAAAGTGCAGTAGAACCACGGGACCGGGGATCCACATCTCTTTGCCGTAGATGGCACCTCGAGATCTGCGCCGTGCAGAGTCATTTGGCCAAGGACCGCTAATCAAGAACAGTAATTTCTTAATCTATGGCGTTGCACACTGTTCATTGCTGCTCCTCGTCAGAAGAGTGAATTATTAAACAATACTCCCTCCATAACATAATATAAGATGTTTTTTAACACTGTTATAGACTCTAAAATCGTCTAATAAAATGTTACAGAGGGAGTAGTTTCTCTCTCGGCTGAGTACAGCTATTGTGGCAGAAGGCTGTTAGCCGAAGCATTGTGCAGAACAACAATTTAAAATATCTGCCCCATGCGTTAAGCCATTCTAGCTAAACAGCCTGCAAATCACACGTATTGGCACACAACTCCAGGCCGTTGTTTCTGAAACCGATGGCATCCAGAGGTGGAGCCGGGGCACCATGGTTCTAAAAAATGGCTCTCAAACTGCAGCCCAGAAAGAGGTGCTAGAATTTTGCCCACTCAATAAATCATCTGAACAACCCAGAAAGGATTCTTCAGGGAACTCACATGTCTGCAGCAGAATAAGCAACCACGACCTCATCCTTTCGGTTGGTAATAATAACTTAACAGCAACACAAACATCCATATCTGACGATCTCACACGAGTAAGCAAGATGTGCAGCACAGTGTCCAGAATTCCTACTAAAATTCCACTAACAGCTTGCAGCCACTCTCTAAATTAAATTCTGAACAGGATGAGAAACCAACGAGAAATCCTAACCCGAATCCACGGGAAAGAACTAGCATTGCTCGGCCACAGCTGCGGGCACACGCTGCCACTACCATTCGCTTCCCGTTCGATCGTCAGCCGCCGCTCGCTCTCTTACTTAGATCGGGTGTCAGAGCGCGAGGCAAGGCACGCGGCGTGTAAGAGGGTAGAGACGGACCTGTATCATGGGCTTGCCGAGGATGAGGGCGAGCGGCTTGCCGTCGAAGCGGGAGGAGGCGTAGCGCGCGGGGATGATGCCCACCGCCAGGCTGCGGAACCCGCGGGGCCGGCGGTACACGTAGGCGGCCGCGGCGGCGGCCGCCGCCGCGCCGAGCGCCAGCCCGTGGAAGATCCACACGCGGCTCCCGGAGCCCGAGGACTCCGACGGCGCCGGGCAGATCGACATCGCGTCGGCGGTGGCGTGGATCCGGCGCGGCGAACTGTGTGCTGTTCGAGTGGGAGTGTGATCCGTGCGGCCGACCAACGTCGGCGTTGCTGTGTCGGTACAGCCCAGCCCAGTTAGCGCATTCGTTGGCCCAGCCCACAAAAGTTTCCTCTGCTTCCCTGCCGTGGGTTTCCTTTGTGTGTGGTGAATCATCAAAACAAAAAAATCCGCTCAAAAAAATCAAAACAAAAAAAGTTTGCCTAGAAAATCTCAGATATATTTTTTTTGCCTAAAAAATCTCAGATCTATTGATGAAACCAAAAGTACAAACATCCCTGAATATTACTCCCTCGTTTTCTAAATATTTGTCTTTTTAGATATTTCAAATGGACTATCACATACAGATGTATATAGACATATTTTATAGTGTAGATTCACTCATTTTGCTCCGTATGTAGTCACTTGTTGAAATCTGTAGAAAGAAAAAATATTTATGAACGGAGACGCATCTTTCTTTAATAATGGTTCTAGAGCTATTGTTGCGACCGTGCGGGATTGTCGAGGAGAAGAAGTAGATAACACAGCTTCGGGAGAAGCTCTAGCTATACGCCGAGGTTTGCAGCTCATGCATCGAATTGGTTGCTCAAATGTGATTGTTGAATCCGAATGCCTAGAAGTTATCAGATCCTGCAAAAACGGAGAGATTGATATCTTGGCACCTTACTCTGTGATTCTGGCGATTGCTTCCAGTATGCGTATGATGTTTCTTCAATCCATTTTCAGCATTGCCCACGGAAAGCTAATGGCTTGGCACATTTTAAGGGCTTCTTTGAATCACAGGATTTGCAAAACAAAGGAATAGAAAAAATGGAGGATTTGATTGCCATGACATAGCCAATCCTGTGGATTTTTTCCAAAGGTCAGACCTCATGTGTAAATTCCTTTGGAATCAGCACCTTGGAGACCCAATCCTGAGGAATTTTAATGACCCAATCCTTTGATCCAAATGCATTTCATAGGAAACAATCCTGAGGATTGATATCCCATGAAAATCCTGTGAAAATCCTCCAATCCAAAGAAGGCGTAAAGGTTGTACATGTGGGACGATGATCCCCTAGCTTTCTTCTTGTGCATTGCCAAGTGGTTTTCCCTTAATAAAAAGAAAAATAGAAGAAGCGGCTTATGCGTCATGTCATGGGAGGGCAGGGGACCTGAATCAAGATTAACACGCATGCCCAACATTGTAGTACATGTGCACTAGCTAGCATTAGCAATAACAACGTGTTACGTGCAGGTCAATATGCATACGAGGGCCGTGGGTGCCGTTCGCGGGGCCGCGTCTCCATGACGGCGTCAAACAAGCGCTGTCAACGATCTCTGGAGAAAAGATAAGAAGCCTTGACAACGAAGGCGCCATTGATTCTTGGTGGAAATCATGGGTTGGTGTAGCACTTGGCACGCGGCCGGAGTTGTTGACCTGCTGTACGCTGCAGTGCAGGTACGCCGCAGAGACACAAAGACCATGCATCAATCAGTCTAGGCCGCTGCATCACCATCATCACCGCTCGTCCAGATCATGTTCATCACGTGTAAAACTATCGTGATTTTCTGTCAGAAGAAGAACAACAAATGTTCTGGACGTCACGCACTGCCGGCCGGACTTGCTGGCCACCAGAAATCTTACGAGAAGTCTAGAAGAGAAGCTCAGCATTTTTGTGGTGGTGCGGCGGGCGTGATCGACGTGCGTTCCAATTTAAGAATAGATTTGACGGGTGAAAAAGATCCGAGTCGATGGAGTACACACTACACAGTATCTTGATCCACGGCGGGACGCAAGTTGGGGCTGGATAAGCGGCTATGACTTTGCCAAGTGGGGATTGCTTTAACCCTTCCAAGCCAACTTGGTCGGCTCGATCTATCGAGACCGCTCGTTCAAGTTTCAACAGTCTGCTGGACTGGATCCATCAAATGGACAAACTTCAGCAAAATGTGAGAGAGATAAGAGAATCTACAGCCGCACACCTCAAACCATCTCTCGTACGTCCGCGGACGCGCCCGGTTAGTGACCAGACAGGAGAGAGAAGAAAAAAAGTGATCGGACCCCTTATATCATCCCTATATGTCCGGGTTGTCCACGAACCCTCATCCAACTCAAATGCAGGGAGGATATGAGGGCTCGCCGACGCGCCCGGTCAATCTGCCATATAGGACACGGCCCCTAGAAGATCCACACGCGGGTCCCCGACCCTGAGGGCTCCAATGGCGCCAGGCAGATCGGTACCGTGTCGGAGCGATGGTGGTGCTCTGGATCCTGTACGGTGCACTAGACGCTCTTGTTTAGAGTTGGAGTGATCCGATGCACCATTGGCCTAGCCTAATGACTATGTCTGCATGAGTGAGTCCACACGCTTTTGATCATTGCACAAGTTTTGCAAAGCAGTAGTTGTAGTGTTTGGCTGGCCGGAGTACTTGAGAGAGCCAAGTGTTGCGGATACAACCCAGTTGTTGGCGATCAATGAATCAAGAGGCTTTCTGGGAATGCTTAGTAACATGGGTTGTATGCACTAGAAGTGAAAGAACTGTCTATTTGATTGACAGGGGCAATATAAGGGGCATATTAAAGTTTGCACGGTCATACTTGAAGATGTGGCTTCACAAAATATCTTGATTTGACACTCTTTTTTGGGTATGGCTGGTTCTCACACAATGACATCAACATGCTTCACCGCTCCCCGATGTTCGGAGGACTTGCAGAAGGCAACTACCCGGAGGTCAACTTTGAGATCAGTGACCACCACTACAACAAGGAATACTACCTAGTTGATGGTATCTATCCTTAGTGGTCAACTCATATGAAGGCAATCTCCAATCCGGTAGGAGAGAAGAGAGCTAGGTTTACCCAAGCACAATATGAAGGAAATATGCCCTAGAGGCAATAATAATGTTATTATTTTATTTCCTTATATCATGATAAATGTTTATTATTCATGCTAGAATTGTATTATCCGGAAACATAATACTTGTGTGAATACATAGACAAACTAAACGTCACTAGTATGCATCTACTTGACTAGCTCGTTAATCAAAGATGGTTATGTTTCCTAACCATAGACATGTGTTGTCATTTGATTAACGGGATCACATTATTAGGAGAATGATGTGATTGACGTGACCCATTCCATTAGCTTAGCACCCGATCGTTTAGTGTGTTGCTATTGTTTTTTTCATGACTTATACATGTTCCTATGACTATGAGATTATGCAACTCCCGTTTGCCGGAGGAACACTTTGTGTGCTACCAAACGTCACAACGTAACCGGGTGATTATAAAGGAGCTCTACAGGTGTCTCCAAAGGTAAATGTTGGGTTGGCGTATTTCGAGATTAGGATTTGTCACTCCGATTGTCGGAGAGGTATCTCTGGGCCCTCTCGGTAATGCACATCACATAAGCCTTGCAAGCATTGCAACTAATGAGTTAGTTGTGAGATGATGTATTACGGAACAAGTAAAGAGACTTGCCGGTAACGAGATTGAACTAGGTATTAACATACCGACGATCGAATCTCGGGCAAGTAACATACCGATGACAAAGGGAACAATGTATGTTGTTATGCGGTCTGACCGATAAAGATCTTCGTAGAATATGTGGGAGCCAATATGAGCATCCAGGTTCCGCTATTGGTTATTGACCGGAGACATGTCTCGGTCATGTCTACATTGTTCTCGAACCCGTAGGGTCCGCACGCTTAAGGTTTCGATGACAGTTATATTATGAGTTTATGAGTTTTGATGTACTGAAGTCAGTTCGGAGTTTCGGATATGATCATGGACATGACGAGGAGTCTCGAAATGGTCGAGACATAAAGAATGATATATTGGACGACTATATTCGGACACCGGAAGTGTTCCGGGTGATTTCAGAGAAAACCGGAGTGCCGGAGGGTTACCGAAACCCCCCGGGAGAAGTAATGGGCCTTATGGGCCTTAGTGGAGAGAGAGAGGGGCGGCCAGGGTGGGCCACGCGCCCCCTCCCCCTCTGGTCCGAATTGGACTAGGAGAGGGGGGGCGGCGCCCCCCTTTCCTTCTCCCTCTCCCCCTTCCTTTCCCCCTCCTAGTAGGAGTAGGAAAGAGGGGAGTCCTACTCCTACTAGGAGGAGGACTCCTCCTCCTTGGCGCGCCATAGGGCCGGCCGGCCTCCTCCCCTTGCTCCTTTATATACAGGGGCATGGGGCATCCCTAGACACATAAGTTGATCCACGTGATCGTTTTCTTAGCCGTGTGCGGTGCCCCCTTCCACCATACTCCTCGATAATATTGTAGCGGTGCTTAGGCGAGCCCTGCGACGGTAGAACATCAAGATCGTCACCACGCCGTCGTGCTGACGGAACTCTTCCCCGACACTTTGCTGGATCAGAGTCCGGGGATCGTCATCGAGCTGAACGTGTGCTAAAACTCGGAGGTGCCGTAGTTTCGGTGCTTGATCGATCGGGCCGTGAAGACATACGACTACATCAACCGCGTTGTCATAACGCTTCCGCTGTCGGTCTACGAGGGTACGTAGATCACACTCTTCCCTCTCGTTGCTATGCATCACCATGATCTTGCGTGTGCGTATGAATTTTTTTGAAATTACTACGTTCCCCAACAGTGGCATCCGAGTCTAGGTTTTATGTGTTGATGTTATATGCACGAGTAGAACACAAGTGAGTTGTGGGCGATATAAGTCATACTGCTTACCAGCATGTCATACTTTGGTTCGGCGGTATTGTTGGACGAAGCGGCCCGGACCGACATTACGCGTACGCTTACGTGAGATCGGTTCTCCCGACGTGCTTTGCACAAAGGTGGCTAGCGGGTGTCAGTTTCTCCAACTTTAGTTGAACCGAGTGTGGCTACGCCCGGTCCTTGCGAAGGTTAAAACAGCACCAACTTGACAAACTATCGTTGTGGTTTTGATGCGTAGGTAAGATTGGTTCTTGCTTAAGCCCGTAGCAGCCACGTAAAACTTGCAACAACAAAG